TGTGCGATTGAGATGTTTTGTCCTGGCTTTTATGTTGATTCTGATCCCAAAGCTTTTTCACAGTTTTCGGGTCCAGAGATTCAGGTGTCGACATGGTTGACGTTTCGAATTGAGTTGAGTTATTATGTGATCCTTGAAGTTTTTTCCCGGTTCCTCTCTCTTATCTCACTACTAATCTTTTCCTTATGTATCGTTTCTACAAAATCTAGGACTGAATCGTCATCGATAATATCTTGTGGTAAAGAGGTTGTAGATATTTTAGGCCCTGTTGAAGATTCAGATTGGGTTGAGCTATGTTCTATTTCAGGCAAGGGATTGGGGGTAATACCTTTCTCCTCACCAGAATGGCCCTCGATAAGTGGCGAAATATCTTTTGTAGGAGATGCTTCCTGTTCATTAGTAATAATCTGGATCTGTTTCTGTTCCAATTTCGTGATTCTATCTTTAAGCTCAGTATTTTTTTCTGCGGTCTGTTCCAATTTGGCGATCCTGGCTTTGAGCTCAACATTCTCTTTCATAACCTGTTTTAAAAGCTCGGCATTCTTGGTTTCAAGCTCAACCTTTTCGGCTTTAAGTTCAGAAATTCATTGTCTCAATGAATCAATTTCGGATTGCATGTTTTAGTAATAGATTGTATATACTCAATTGTTTATTTAAAATGCGTAACTAAAGTAATAAAAATTTCAGCGGCGGGTCGTCGTCAAAAATTCCAAAAAAATATAACACTAATAAAAAAACCATATTTAGTTATATCACGATGGCAAATTTTGATCGAAAGTGAAACACGTTTTCAAAGTGCACACAATCTACCTCACTTCAGTCGAAATTTTATTAATAATAGAGTTAAACAATCTGCATTTGTAGAATTTTTAGTTGAGATAAAAAAATACATCCAACTATTTTCTAATATGATATGGAGAACAATTTTATAAAAAAACCATATACAAAAATTACTTTTGTTTTAGACCTGCAATTGCAATCTTGACAAGTTTTGGTGACGGAGTAGGCATTCTGCCATAGGAAGAACGTGATGGAGAACTAGGCGGGGTGTTAGAAGCGATTACCGTTGAAACTTCAGAAATACGATGCTTAAGATCATAAAAGGAAAGACATTAAATGGTTAATGACGGATTGCATCAAAGACAATAAACAGCTATTGTTTTAACCACTTACTTTAATATTATAAAACGCTTCTAAAACCGGCACTAAATTTATGATTTTTTCCCGTTCTGTTGGGACAGATACATTTGCGACTAAGATCATCCTATATATTCCGTCATAATTTAGATCCATCTCGTAGATATGAACATTCATGCCTATGAACGCAATCAGATGTTAGTTGGCATATGCACTAAAAAGTCAGTTCAAATTTGCATACTTACCACATACCCATATGCCAAAAGAAATTATTCCAATTCTATTTCCGTATTTTTTGATTAACTCGTCCAAAGTACCCGCTTGGAACTCAGCAAGTTTAACAAGATCTTTTTTCACCAATACAGATGATGAATCCCTTGGTTTAACTTCTCCAAAGAGAATTTCATCTCGAGTATTAGTCAAAATCTTGAAATCGGGTTTATTACCTTTAACAGTGTCATTTTCCTTGTTGCTAGAACGTCGATTTTTTGAAGAGGAGCTCTCGCTGTTAGCCCTTTTAAGTCAAGCATATAGTTATTAAATAAGAACAGAGATTATATCTACACAACGCTTCTAAACATACCACACTAATTCTAACATTGAGTCCCGAAAAATCTCATTGATTAAGTCGTGCAAAGTGTTGTGGACAAAAGTATCTTCATTGTCTTTATTAATAAGACCTAAAAAAAAACTGTGAACAACTATAAATATAACACCTACAATTCCGTAATGTAATTTGGTATATTATTACAATTATAACACTTACAAATTCCGTAATATTATCTGACATTTACAAAAATTAGCTCTATCCTCTTTGTTCAACTCCGTGACTCTGGAGAAATTTGTACACCATCTATCTTCGATTTCATCCAATGGCGTAAACGAATTTAACAACTAAAATAGATGATGTTTAATGTAGTAGTGTTGCAATTTAACGCAAAGTCTGTGAATAAGAAATTAAATCTCACCGAAGAATATTCCAAAATTATATTGTTGACCGCTGATGTCAACCCTGAAGGTGTTTGTCTTCGACAAATTGTATCCCAAATCGTCGAGTTACAGGACAAATATGTTGGTTTTGTCCGCTCAATCAGCATTATATTTGATAGGCATCTAGTTTTATCATGTAAATAATGAATATCACATTGAAACCCACAAAAATCCATGATTCGTAATACTTACAGAATTTCATGAATATCTTTTTTGTAACATAGATATGGTTTTTTCTTAACTTGTTGAATTGTTGACATCTGAAAATTCCGGAACTCGTTGGAGAGATTATAATTTCCAAAAACCCACTGAAAAGGTGCATAAAATATAGTTAACGTACAGTGGATGCAATGAAACATTGACCTCTCAATTTACCCACATTTGTTTTCGAAGTATCCCTAAAATCAATCTTATTAACTGCATCCTCCCATGAGTAAAGAACCTTCATTCGTTTTTTGGTATCGTAATATTCATGTTCGATATCTATGTGTAAGTATATTGTAAATTAGATTCCCCAGATTCCCTCAGAAATGACAAAACTAAGATCATTATTACCTTCTTCACAATTAATGTTAGAAGATGTAACGGATGAACACAAACTCTGATTCTCTTGGTTTATTTTTGAATCTGTTGATCTTAATATTGAACTATCATGCTGGTTTGACATTTTATCATTCGAATTCTATAAAAATACAATACCAATTAATGAAAAGTAAGATTGGGATAAGGTTGCGGGCTATTCATCAAAACAATTGCCTGATCTTCCTGTTGATCCAGTTCACATTGAGGAGTAGTAGTGCGTACAAGAAAGTAGTCATTGATTTTTAGTCTTTTCGAATCTTTATTATCTCTCTATATAATTAAAATTGTAATTCATTAAGAACAAGCGCAAATTAATAGTTCTAGTTAAAAACTATGCATTTTTACCTCTTTCTGATTGCTCCTCTTTGGTGCAGGCTTTACATCGAACACTCCTTCACTCATAGTTCCATATACACCATTTGTTATCCCTCTCACTGTCCCGTTTATGGTTGAACGACGGATATTAATCTGCATATTCGAATGCACCTTTTCCCACTCTTTTGATCTTTTTTTATCGGGATAATTACCCTAAAACGATAATTTTAAGAAATTAGTAATATCCATAACTGTCGTGTTTTCATTCCGTCTTAATACTTTCGTATTTTCATATTTTGACATCAGACAGGCTCGAAGGTATCTGTGTCTGACTATGCCAGTAGGCTCGAGACTTTTAACTCGAGGCTTTTAAACATCAGGCAAGCGCGAAGGTCACCTGCGCCCCAGCATAGCCTTTGTGGCTCGGCGAGAAGACTTGAATGATAGAGAGAGAGAAGGTCCCTACCACGCCACTTATTATTATTATCTTTCACGCAAAACCCTAATACTTGCCTGTCTGTAAAGTTTGAGAAGTTCCAATGCTTTTTCACACCTTTGATCCTTCTCGGAATCAGCGATTAACTCAAGAGACTTTAAGTAACACTCTATTTTTTGTCTGTAAGATTCTATATCGGTACATTCATTGAGGAATCCGACAATGTCCCACTCTGACACTTTTCGTTTAAAATACTCATGTATCTATTTTTGGGGATGAACAAAAGGTAAAGTCAGGATCGCAAAAAAGCAAAGTTCATCTGCATTAACTTCATACCGTTTTAGATGTAGACATGATCGTGATAGAGTATGTTTCGATAATGGTTTTGTCACACTATATATATTTCACAAAGAAAACGCGTTTGAGATACGCGTGTTCCATAATAATAATAAGCTCATCACGCAAATTAACCGTGACCAAATTTGTGTAATGAAACAGCGACGGCCCGTCGTCAAAAGATCGACACTCTCCTTTCTAAGTTCGGTAATCTATTATTTAAAATCCTTACGTGTCGATCATGTAACGTTTAGTTTACCCCATATAAATTATTTAAATTGTGTCACCAAATTTTACATACAGTGAACTCTCCCTAAATGCACACCCTTGGGACCGAAAGTGTGAAAGTGTGCATTTAGGGAATAATGCAA